GCCTCCTGGGTTCAAGCAATTCTCTGCCTCAGCCTCCTGAGTATCTGGGATTACAGGTACCCACCACCAGGCCTGGCTAACTTTTGTATTATTAGTAGAGACAGGGTTTCACCATCTTGGCCAGGCTGGTCTTGAACTCCTGACCTCGTGATCTACCTGCCTCCTCCTCCCAAAGTGCTGAGATTACAGGCGTGAGCCACCGCACCCAGCCCTTTTTTTTTTTTTGAGACAGAGTCTCGCTCTGTCACCAAGGCTTGAGTGCAGTGGCACTATCTCGGCTCACTGTAAGCTCCACCTCCCGGGTTCACACCATTCTCCTGCCTCAGCCTCTGGAGTAGCTGGGACTACAGGTGCCGGCCACCACGCCCAGTTTTTTTTGTTTTTTTTTTTTTTTGTATTTTTAGTAGAGATGGGGTTTCACCATGTTAGCCAGGATGGTCTTGATCTCCTGACCTCATGATCCGCCCGCCTCTACCTCCCAAAGTCTGGGATTACAGGCGTGAGCCACCACGCCCAGCCCCAGCCTTTTTTCCTTTTTTTGAGACAGAGTTTTGCTCTTGTTGCCCAGGCTGGAGTGCAATGGCATGATCTTGGCTCACCGCAACCTCCGCCACCTGGGTTCAAGAGATTCTTCTGCCTCAGCTTTCCAAGTAGCTGGGTTGATAGGCATGAGCCACCACACGCAGATAATTTTTGTATTTTTAGTAGAGATGGGGTTTCTCCATGTTGGTCAGGCTGGTCTCGAACTCCTGACCTCAGGTGATCCGCCCGCCTCGGCCTCCCGAAGTGCTGGGATTACAGGTGTGAGCCACCGCACCCGGCTATGCAAACTTTTTATAAAGATGAGTATTAGGCAAAGGAAGAATGAGTTTATGTGTTATAAATGCATACAGGAGTGGGAAGAAGTATCTTAGACTCCAGGACAGCCAGACAGGAAGGGAGGCACCAGAGGGAAGACAGTTCCCATGAGCCTGCGTCTGGTCTCTTGCCTCCCTCAGCTGCTCCTTCAGTCCCTGGTCAGGCTTCTAAACACACCGTCTTTCCCCAAAAAGGCCTGGACAACTGCCCAGGGTGATATTGAGATCCTAAGTTTAGGAGTGCCCAGACAGTCACCCGGGTTCCTTCTGTCTCCAAGATACTCTCACTGTTCCCAGTCCCGGCCTTCAAGCCCCATTTCTGCCTCATTAGAGGAAACTTACTTGGTCTGCTGTGGAGTGGTGGTGCGACCAAAAGTATCAAATGAAATGTTAAACCAGCGGTAGATGTCAGCATGGATGATGTGGTACTTGTCGCAGATCTCCTGGGGGGTTAGTCCCTCCTCCATAGCTTTGGTCTCTGTCGCTGTACCATACTCATCTGTCCCACATAGATAGAGGGTGTTCCACTGGCGGAGGCGAGAGTACCTGCAAGGGAATATGGTGACTGCTAGGGGGCCCTGCCTCAGTGCTCCCTTGTCCTTGGGATCTCACCAGCCCCACCCTTGAGGCATCCTATTCCCCTGGGACCCGCCCTTCCCTTAGGAGGTCTCTCCCCCAGCAGCTGGCTCCACCTGGCAAAGACATCGGCACTGAGCACGCAACCAATGATGTTCCCAAGGTGGGGGACGTTGTTGACGTAAGGGAGGGCACTGGTGATGAGCACATTCCTTTCCCCAGTCACAGGCAACCTAGTAAAGAGGAAGAGAACAGTGCATGGGGGGATGTGAGGGTCAAGAGGGACCCAAAGTGCACAGAACACCCAGACACAGATTTGTTCTGTCGTGTGTTTATGTACACTCAAAGTCTTTCTGCACACGAACCCACAGGACCACAGATCTTAGGTCCCCCGGGGACCCTAAGATCCCTTATAGCTGCAAATATAGGGCGCTGCCACAGTGAGGAAGTCTCCTATACTATGAAGGAGCCTTGTTCCAACACCAATTTCTGCCCTTTTACTATCATGACTGCTTTTCTATTACCTCATTCTCAGGCTCAAACTCTCCCTAGACTCTTTCTAATCATCATCCTCTCACCACTCCCAAGAATACTTTCCCAGCGCTGGCTTCTCCTCTTCTTTCCAGGTGCTATGTTACTATCATCTCTAGTCACTATCTGAAATCCGAAGAGCTCACCCCTCTAGACACAACCCTTAACAAGTCCTTTTGTACCAACTCTCTAACTCGTGTCTGTCACTTCCTATGGCCTAACCCAAACCAGCAGGCACCAGTTTTGCCTTCACTGTCACCCTCTCCTCCCCACTTTTCCAGGATAATTGCTGGTCATGCCATTCAACCTGCTGTCTGAAGGCACTCAATTCAGTATTCCTTTTCAAGTTTCATCATCCTTGACATCTGAGCTGTACATATCCTGTATCGACATCCCCTCTTTAGCACTGACACTACACTAAGGCTCCTGTCATCTTTCCAACCATTCTTAGCCTACAGTCACTGGCTCCCCGATTCCATCACATTAACCTCAACCCTTCTTCCCAGCTGCTGCTACATATCCCAATAGATGGACCAAATACTTCCTAGAACATTTTACAGCTTATTGCCATAAAACACATCTCACTAATTTCTTGTGCATCCATCACCCTTTCTCCCCATAACTGAGTATCGTAACTTTCTCTGAAATCCAGCTTAGAAATCACCTCCTCCAAGAAAACCTTCCTTCACTGACGGCCATCTTCCCACACAGTCTTTTTTGTATCCCAAGCCCCTAACCACTTTGTACCATATTGAGTACTGCTCCTTTCATGTTACACTGTCACTTCTCTCTCAGAATGAGTGTGCTTACTGCTGTGGCAAATATGGAGGCAAATATGCCCTAGGTTCTGCTTCCAAGAGTATTACATTCTATTATGTAACTGCTGACTGGGATCAGTGTAATGAAGAGGTGCAAAGTGCCAAAGAAGATCAAAGGAAGGCAAGCACTCTAGCCCAACACAGCTTAGTCTGCCCATAGGATCTTCAATGCCAATTATCTCCTCCTCCACTTATGCCTGAGAAAGGTTATCTTTTTTTTTTTTTTTTTTTTTTAGAGACAGAGTCTCCCTCTGTCACCTAGAGGGCAGTGGCACAACACAGCACACTGTAATCTTGAACTCCTGGGCTCAAAATGATCCTTCCATCTCAGCCTCCCAAGTAGCTGGAACTTCAGGCATGCATCACCGTGCCTGGATAATTTTTAAATTTTTTTGGAAGAGATGCAGTCTATGTTGCCAGGACTGGTCTCGAACTCCTGGGCTCAAGTGATCCTCCTGCCTCAGCCTCCCAAAGTGCTGGGATTTCAGGCATGAGCGATGGCAGTGCTTCCTATTCTATATGAGCCTTGGAAGTGCTTAGTATTGGCCGGACGCAGTGGCTCATGCCTGTAATCCCAGCACTTTGGGAGGCTGAGGCGGGCAGATCACGAGGTCAGGAGTTCAAGACCAGCCTGGCCAACATGGTAAAACCCCATCTCTACTAAAAAAGTACAAAAATTAGCCGGGTGTGGTGGCACATGCCGGTAATCCCAGCTACTCGGGGGGCTGAGACAGGAGAATGGCTTGAACCCGGAAGGCAGAGGTTGCGGTGAGCCAAGATTGTGTCGAGCCAAGATTGCGTCACTCACTCCATCCTAGTGAGACTTGATTTCAAAAAAAAAAAAAGAGGCCGGGCGCGGTGGCTCAAGCCTGTAATCCCAGCACTTTGGGAGGCCAAGACGGGCGGATCACGAGGTCAGGAGATCGAGACCATCCTAGCTAACCCGGTGAAACCCCATCTCTACTAAAAAACACAAAAAACTAGCCAGGTGAGGTGGCGGGCGCCTGTAGTCCCAGCTACTCAGGAGCCTGAGGCAGGAGAATGGCTTAAACCCGGGAGGCGGAGCTTGCAGTGAGCTGAGATCCGGCCACTGCACTCCAGCCTGGGTGACAGAGTGAGACTCCGTCTCAAAAAAAAAAAAAAGTGCTTAGTATTGCCAGGCGTGGTGGCTCACGCCTGTAATCCCAGCACTTTGGGAGGCCGAGATGGGTGGATCATGAGGTCAGTTCAAGACCAGTCTAGCCAACATGGTGAAACCCTGTCTCTACTACAAATACAAAAAATTAGCCAGGCATGGTGGCAGGCACCTGTAATCCCAGCTACTCAGGAGGCTGAGACAGAAGAATCACTTGAGCCTGGGAGGCGGAGGTTGCAGTGAGCCAAGATCATGCCATTGCACCCCAGCCTGGGCAACAGTGCGAGACTCCATCTCAAAAACAAAAACAAAAACAAAAACAAAACAGTAAGTGCTTAGCATTAAACTGAATCCATAATATATGCTCAATATATACTTAAAAAAAGCAAAACAGAAGGCCCGGCGCAGTGGCTCACGCCTGTAATCTCAGCACTTTGGGAGGCCGAGGCGGGCGGATCACAAGGTCAGATCGAGACCATCCTGGCTAACACGGTGAAACCCTGTCTCTACTAAAAATTAAAAAAAAATTAGGTGGGCTGGTGGCGGGCGCCTGTAGTACCAGCTACTCGGGAGGCTGAGGCAGGAGAAAGGTGTGAACCCAGGAGGCGGAGCTTGCAGTGAGCCAAGACTGCACCACTGCACTCCAGCCTGGGCGACACAGCAAGACTCCATCTCAAAAAAAACAAGCAAAACAAGGATGGACTTTCATAAATTCATTCAAATTTTATCAATATCTACAGAACACTTGGCCCTGTGCTAGCAAGTGAGCCCCATAAAAGAGACATCTCTACTTTCAATGAGCTTACAAATTAGTGAAGAAACAGACATGTAATGTGACAATTACAACATAATATGACAATGGGACCTCCCAGAAATTGAAGCACTTAGGACTGTCTCATACTCTATAGAGAATGAAAAGCCAGAACTCCTCTCTGCAAGAAGAGTTGTGCATCAGGCAGGTTAAGATGCTGGCATTCCAGGGAGAAGGAAAAGTATGCATGAAGGCACAGAGGTGAGAGACAATGGCATGATGCCAGCCCCACCTCCCTCTCAAAACTCATTTTGACCCATGTGCCCCCGACTGACCAGCCTGCCACCACTGTCCTTTTAGGAATTCCTTAAGAGGCAAACCCTCTTGCTCCTCAGGTGTTTGCATATTAGGTTTCCTCTCTCTGAAAACACCCTCTCTCCACTCTTACTCTTGCCTAACTAGCCCCTGCTTATCTTGCAAGTCTCAAATTTGTTTTAAGTGTTTTTTGTGGGTGTGTGTGAAATGAAGTTGCACTCTGTTACCCAGGCTGGAGTGCAGTGGCGTCATCTTGGCTCACTGCAACCTCCGCCGCCCAGGTTCAAGCAATTCTCCAGCCTCAGCCTCCTGAGTAGCAGGGATTACAGGCACAAGCCACCATGCCCAGCTAATTTTTGCGTATTTAGTAGAGACGGGGTTTCGCCATGTTAGCCAGGGCTGGTCTCAAACTGCTGATTTCAGGTGATCTGCCGCCTTGACCTCCCAAAGTGCTAGGATTACAGGCATGAGCCACCATGCCCGGCCATTTTAGGTCTTTACTCAATATTTTAGAGAGGCCTCTAAATTAGTCACCTCTGATATTTCCTCTCATATCAACCTTTTCTTTTCCTTCATTGAACTTTTTTTTTTTTTTTGAGACAGAGCCTTGCTCTGTCGCCCAGGCTGGAGTGGCATGATCTTGGCTCACTGCAACCTCCGCCTCCCAGGTTCAAGCAATTCTCCTGCCTCACCTTCCCGAGTAGCTGGGACTACAGGTGCCCGCCACAACAACTGGCTAATTTTTGTATTTTTAGTAGAGGCAGGGTTTCACCATGTTGGCCAGGCTGGTCTTGAACTCCTGACTTCAAATGATCCAGCCACCTCAGCCTCCCAAAGTGCTAGGATAACAGGCATAAGCCACTGCGCCCGGCCTGGACTTTTCAAAATGTATAATTCTACATTTGTGCGATAGTTTTTAAAATACCTCTCTATCCTACCAGACAGAAAGTCCCATGACAGCAGAGATCCTGTCTGTCTTGTTCCCCTCAGTATACCCAGCTCCTAGCATGCAGGGACTGGCAAGGAGTCAACACTCAAATCTTTATTGAATGGCAACATACTCAGAACTATAAATAATTTCATTTTGATGGAAAAATCTGCATATGTATAAATATTATCTTAGTGTAGCAGGAGAGGGACAAAATATGTTACTGAGCCTGCAGTCAGGGGCCTTGTGAATTACACAAAGGAACCCTCGATAGAATTCTAAAGAGGAGTGATAATAGTCTGTGCAGTTTTAAGCAGTCACTCTGGAGCAGTGTGGAGTACAGAGTGGCAGGGAAAGAGGGTAAGAGATGACAAGGTTTGCTAGTATCTGTGTAGTGACAGTGATAATACAGAGGAGAAGGGGTGGATTCAAGGACTACTTAAGAGTTAGAATCAATGACTTGGTAAGGGAATGAATAATACAGCTAGGGAGAAAGGAAGAAGTCTAGATAACACCAAGATTCCTGGCTTGAATTTTTAGGTGGAAGGTGGAGGCTGTTCAACAAAGGCAGGTGAATGAATAAAAGGGCAGTTGGCAGGGAAGATAACAGGTTTGGTTTTGGACATGTTGAATTTGAGATGCCTGTGGAGGTAAAGGAATCTAGGATGGTATGGCAAATGTGTCTGGAGTTCAGAATACAGATCTGGACTAGAAAAATAGATTTAGCTCCATCAGTGGGTTAAAAAGTAGCTAAAAACATGGGTGCAGGGCCAGCACGGTGGCTCACGTCTGTAATCCCAGCACTTTGGGAGGCTGAGGCTGGTGGATCATCTGAGGTCAGGAGTTCGAGACCAGCCTGTCTGGGCAATATGGTGAAACCTTGTCTCTACAAAAAATTAGCCAGGCATGGTGGTGCACACCTATAATCCCAGCTACTTGGGAGGCTGAGGCAGGAGACTCGCTTGAACCCAGGAGGCAGAGGTTGTAGTGAGCCGAGATCATGCCAATGCACTCCAGGCTGGGCAACAAGAGCAAAATTCCATCTCAAAAAAAAAAAAAAAAAAAAAGAGGAAAGAAAAGAAAAACATGGATGCAGATGGGACAGATAGAGTGTCCAAAATGATAAGCTAAGAGAAAATGTAAAAAAAAAAAAAAAGAGATGTAAGAATTAAAAGGAGAGAATGAAAAACTTAAGAGAGATCAGCACACGGGACCTACCAGGCAGGTTCTGGCTCTATCAACAATTTCCACTACAAAATCAAGCCCCACTCACATATGCCATGTCTACTCACACTGGATTCTGCTGGGGCCGCAGTGGGGGCAAACTTTCTAGGCCCTTCTCCCAGGCAGTAACAGCCATAGCAATCTCCTCCTCAGATAGGGTAGCCAGCTCCTCCTCCTATGAAGAGTGGAGAGAATCCCTTACCAGGTGAGGGGGGCCCACAGGGTAAAGAAACTTTCTGCTTGCCACTACCTGAAAAAGTTGGTGGCCATGCTCAAAGTCCATCTCCTAGCCACCTCCCACCTCAGGCCCTGTTCCAAACCTCAGGCTCATTGGTGACAGCCCTTCCCTCAGCGGGGCTGGGCTGGGGCTGCTTTTGGAGGTAAGGCCGGAGAGCCAGGACACCTTGCTGTTTCAGTACAGTCTCTGCAGCTCGCTGACATGGCTCCTGAGTACTCAGTGTCTGGAACCAGCTATGCAGGGCACTCAGCTCCTCTGTGGGTATGGGAGAAAAGAAAATCAGCAAACATAAGGACCTGGTAGGCAGGAGCAGGCCTCTTCCCCCTTCTTTGTGAGGTTTCTCCAGTTGCTTTCCCCAGTTCCCTCAGCCATTTCCTGCTATAGTTACCCAGTCTAGCTGCACCTTGAAGGGAGTTCTCAGTATTCTACTGCCCATTCTATAACCCCCCTACACCAAGCTCCTAGGGTTGGAGTGATATGCACAGTTCTCACCAGGGAGGTAGGCAGGATCTTGCAGTAATGGGTATAGGGCTCCCCACAAAACAATGTCGGCTAGAGATTCTGTCTCCTTTGTTGGGGATAGAAAAGGAAAATGTACACAAATGAGACACTCAGTTTCTTCCCAATGGTAATATCTAACATTTACTGAGCACTTACTGTGTGTCAAGCACTGTATTAAGCACTTTATATTATCTCACTTAATCCTCACAATAACTTACTGAGGTAGGTACTAATATTACTCCTATTTCACAACTGAAAAAAAAAATTGAGGATTAGAGAGATTAAGTAATTTGCCAAGATTATACTACTAGTAAGTGGCAGTGTTGGGTTTGAACAATCTGAAAATAGTCTTCCCTCTTAATCCTTACACCATAAGCCTTCCCCAATCCTCATCTCAAGATCCAACTCACCCCAGCCAGGAAAGGACAGTTCTGACGACTCAAGCTATGGTCAATGTGAGTCAGGGCTCTCCGCACTGAACCAAGAACATCTTCCCCCTTCTTGCCTTGGACCACTAAATAGTACAGGGCAGCAGACAAAGCTGGCTAAAATGCAGGGGACATGAGTCAGGATGGCCACGCAGAGCAAGGGCCTGCCAGACATCCCCCATACCTTAGTCCTACCTGCAGCTCTGTCGCTTCCCATTCCAGCCACTGGTTAGTGAGGTCATCTTGCTCCCAGCCAGATAACAAAAAGAAATATCTGCCCAGAAAGACAGCAACAGATGATGGATTTAGAGGGGCCTGTTTATCTAGCCCATTTCTCATCACACAGGGAAACAATGGCTGCAAATAAAGCCACACAAAGGACAGTGCGGTCTGATTTGATTCAGCCACCTCCCTACACCAAGGCCCAATACTGACCGGCAGATTGCACTAGTGGAGAAGAGGTAGTTGCCACTATCCAGCTGCAAGACAGGGACTTTAGGCCGGGTCAGGAACGGGACCACACAGTCTGATGCAAAAACGGAAAATGGGTTAAAAAAAAAAAAAGGAAAAGAAAAGAAATGCTTTGTCAACTTAGGATAATCTTGCATTGTTCAGTGAGTTAGAAAAGAAAGATGGGCAGTCTCAACCCAGAAGTTCCAGGATAGGACCACTGAAAGGGGGTGGGTCCGGAATGGGCTGGAGAGGCCAGCAGGTGTTCAGCTGAAACTGCCAGCTGGAAGCAACAGATGGGGACTGCAGAGGAGGTGGTGGTATTGGGATAGTGCTGCAGCCAAGAACTTAACGACTAAAAGTAACTGGGATATCTTAATAATTATCTGAAGGTCACAGTGGGAGAACAAAATTAAAAGAGCTGAGAAGACTGACAAGAGAACCTCCTAAGAGTCACCCAAACAATCGGCTGAGAATGAGAAGAGGTAAACAGAAAGAAGTGTGTGTGTGTGTTAGGAGGGGAGAGAGGGATTTCCTAAAAACACAAAAGGATGCCTGGGGGCTGTCATACTAGTAACTAAAGAGCAGAGGGGCGTGCCTGATAGGTGTAGGAGAAGGTTGGGAAGGGAAGAACAGTTTACTGTGGTGAGGCGGGGTCCTGGAAGACGGAAGAGGGGAGAGAGATAAGGGAAGAGCATTATATTGAGGGTAATTAAAGGAAGTGAAGTGAAAGATGTGACTGGGAGGGAAGAAGACGTGGAGTGATCAAGGATAACGGAAGTGGTCGATTGGGGTGTGTGGCGAGGACTGGGGGTTTGGCAAAGACAGCTGCAGAGAATCTGAGGTGTTTCGGTCCCGCCCCCCACCCCC